CCCCAAAATTCAATAAAAAATATAAATAAATAAATAAATAAATAAATAAATGGGTGGGAAAAAAGATAGCATAGTATAAATCCATCACAACTAGCAAAACATGTTTTCAATGATAATATGAAGAAAATTTCTGTGTTTTCAGTGATGTAGAAATTAATATCACTAAAATTAATGATAGAAGGTTAGAAAGAAGCTTCTTTGGAGGTTTTGAAATATATTGTACAATACAGAAGTATATGTGTATGTGATTTGTAAATAAATAAAGATTTAAAAATAAATAAAACAAAGGCTATACCAAGAGACAACAAAGGACCTAACAATTCCACTTCTGGGTATTTATCCAAAGAAACCCAGAACACTAAATCTAAAAGACATATGCATCTATACATTCACTGCAGCATTATTTACAATAGCCAAGATATGGAAGCAACTTAAGTGTCCATCAATTAAAAAATGGATAGAGAAGAAGTGGTGCATATAAAATCTTGCCATCTGCAACAACACGGATGGACCTAGAGGGTACTGTGTTGAGTGAAATAAGTCAGACAGAAAAAGACAAATGCCATATGATGTCACTTGTATGTGGAATCTAGAAAACAGATTAAACAAAAAAATTGACCAGAAGCAGATTCAGAAACACAGAAAACATTCTGACACTTGCCAGATGGCAGGTGGGTAGAGAGATGGTTGAAAAATGTGAAGGGGAGTTCCAGCCAAGATGGAGGCATAGGTAGAAACCCTTCACTTCCTCGCACAACCAAAAGGAGGATAACAACCAATCTAAAATTAATGAACAACCAAAAGCACCAGAAAGGCAAACTGTATGGAACTCTGACAACCAGGGAATTAAAGAAAAGATCAACCAAAACAACCAGCCTGGCAGTGCAGCAAAGAGGGTTGCCCTGCTTGGGTGAATACCTAAGGCCCCGCCCCTTACAACTTATCAGGTGCACCAAGACCAAGAAACATGCCCCAAATGAAAGAGCACAGCAAAACCTCAGAACTAAGCAATGAGGAGATTGCCAACCTATCTGATGGAGAATTTAAAGCCCTGGCAATCAAAATGCTCAGAACTGACTGAGCTTGGTCGAAAAAATGAAAGAACAAATGAAAGATCCCCAAAATGAAATAAAGCAAAATATTCAGGGAACCAACAGTGACAAGAAGGAAACCAGGACTCAAAGCAATGATTTGGAACAAAAGGAAGAAATAAACATCCAACTAAATCAGAATGAAGAAACAAGAATCCAAAAAAAAAAAAAATGAAGAGAGACTGAGGATTTTCTGGGACAACCTGAAACGTTCCAATATCTGAATTATAGGGGTGCCAGAAGGAGAAGAACAGCAGCAAGAAATGGAAAACTTACTTGAACAAATAATGAAGGGAAACTTCCCCAATCTGGTGAAGGAAATAGACTTCCAGGAAGTCCAGGAAGCTCAGAGTCCAAAAGAAGTTGTACCCAAAGAGGAACACATCAAGGCACATCATCATTAAGTCACCCAAGATTAAAGATAAAGAGAAAATCCTAAAAGCAGCAAGAGAAAAGGAGACAGTAATCTACAAAGGAGTTCCCCAAAACTATCAGCTGATTTCTCAAAAGAAACCTTACAGGCAAGAAGGGGCTAGAAAAAAGTATTCCAAGTCATGAAAGGCAAGGACCTACACCCAAGATTGCTCTATCCAGCAAAGCTTTCATTTAGAATGGAAGGGCAGATAAAGTGCTTCCCAGATAAAGTCAAGTTAAAGGAGTTCATCACCACCAAGCCCTTATTATATGAAACATTTAAGGGACTTACCTAAGAAAAAGAAGATCAAAGATATGAACAATAAAGTTACAACAAACTCACAAGTACTAACAAATGAACCTAAAAGAAAAGAAAAACAATGAAAAGAAAAACTAAGCAAACAACCAGAATAGGAACAGAATCAGAGAAATGGACATCACACAGAGGGATTTCAGTGGGGAGGGGGAATGGGGAAAAAAGGTCCAGGGAAGAAGCATAATTAGTAGGCATAAAATAGACAGGGAAAGATAAAAATGGTATAGGAAACAGAGAACTCAAAGAACTTATATGTACGATCCATGGACATGAACTAAGGGGAAGGAAGGCTGGAGTGTTGGAAGGTTGAGGGGTTAGGGTGGAAGGGGAAAAACTGGGAAAATTGTAATAGCATAATCAATAAAAAAGACTCAAAAAATAAAAACGTGAAGGGACTAAGAATTAAACATTAGTAAGTATGGAATAGTCATGGTGATATGAGGTACAGTATAGGGAATATACACAATAATATTGTGATAATTATATATGGTGTCAAATGGGTACTAGATTTATCAGGGTGATCCCTTTGTAAGTTAATAAATGTCTAATTACTGAGTTGTATACATGAAACTAATATAATACTGTATATCAACTGTAATTTGAAAAAAATTCATCCCACACAGATGTGGAGAGGTAGACATATTCTAGAACTATTCAGAAGAGACAGTGACAGGACTCGGCAGTTGAGACAAAGGTGGAGTGAGGGAGAATGCAGAGTGAATGGCAGGTGCTGCCACTTCCTGAGACAGGAGGCACAGAGGAGAAACAATTTTAAATGTCCGGTGTTTAATAAGCTGAGCTTGAAATATCTGTGGAACTCTTGGGTGGAAATATTAACAACGTGCTGACTGATCAGGCCTGGATCATCATCGTCACAGCCACCTTCCCCTAGTCCTCACTAACTGCCACCATGCCACAGCCACACACGACTCCTGTTCCTCAAATGCACCAAGTTCATTTCTGCCTTTGGGCCTTCACACCTGCCATTCTCTCTCCTGGGGATCCTCCTCCCTCAGGTGGCCAAATGCCCGGCTCCGGGTAATTCATGTATCAAGTCAGACCTTACCCCACAGAGGAGTCTTCTCTCACCATCCCACCCAAACTCTTTCCAAAGTCACTCTCAATCACTCTAGAGCATCTTCGCTACCCTTATCACTGTAAGAAATTATCTTTTACTTTTTTCTTGTTTGTTGCCCATGCTCTAAAACTGTGTTGTCTCATACCATAGCCATGAGCCACATGTGGCTTTGTAAATTTAAATAAATTAAAATTAAATAAGATTTCATCCTGGCTGGTGTGGCTCAGTGAATTGAGTGCTGACCTGGGAACCAAAGGGTCGCTGGTTCAATTCCCAGTCGGGGCACATGCCTGGGTTGCGGGCCAGGTCCCCATTAGAGGTGCATGAGAGGCAACCACATGTTGATGTTTCTCTCCCTTCCTCCCACTCTTCCTCTCTGTCTAAAAATAAATAAATAAAATATTTTTAAAAAATCTTTGGCAAGAGTAGTTTCAGTGAAGTGATCAGTTCAGAACCTACCATGAAGGCTGAAGGAGAAATGGGAGGCAAATGTAGAAAACCTCCAAGTCCAGCTGTGACTGAGAGGCAGTGGGGTGCCGCTGAAACAGAGTTTCTGCTTATTCATTTATTTTCAAAATAGGACATTCTGAGCATAATTATACATCGGTATGAAGAGAGAGACTGACGTAACGAGGGCTGAGTAATGCGACAAAGTTCCTGAGCAGATGGGAGGTGATAAAATCCAGGTAAGAGACAGAGAGATTGGCTCTGGGTAGAAGGAAGAAGGCCTCCTCTCCTTTAACCAGGAGGAACCGGAGGCCAGAGAATGCAGACAGAGACCAACGAGAAGCAGGACTTGGCAGGAGCCCCTTTCCAGTGGTCTCTTTCTCAGTCTGGGAAGCAGAAGGAGAGACCATGTGCTGTGAATGGAGAGTAGAATGGGGTGGAGAATGTAGTTTTTAAAAAATAAACAACAAGGCTTTATTGACATTCAGGTGTGCATAAATTCTCAAAAACCTTTCACAGTTCTCTTAAGTCAGAAAGCTAAAGCTTCCTTCCACTGCCATGCACTGAAGGAGTGAAAATAGAAGGTTGATAGAAGTGGACTCTCATCAGGCGGAAATGGAGGACAGAGCTGACCCAGAAAGCAGGGCTTGGGGGGGCAGCGTGGAGAGAACCAGCAGAGGCTGGAGCCTGTGAACTTGTAGTGACTCCAGTCAGCAAACTTCCTGAACATGCCTGGATAATCTCTAACTCTAATTGAGCTGTTCAATGCATCAGACCTTTAGCAATAAGAACCTGACCTCATCTCTCCTGTGAACACTAAAAACTGAAAGAAACAAATATCCAGCCAAGAGAAGAAAAATATAATAAATATAGCCATTTTGTGGGGCTTATCAGTCCCTCAAGTACATACAAATCTAAACTAAAGCTGTACCCTTTTTGCACCCTCCTTTGTGCCTTATACATTCACTGAAAGTTCACAATCTTGCACGTATAGGTTATTAAGATGATGTTAGTATTAGAAGTTTTATTTAAGGTTAGATAAACATAAACCCTCTGTGTTATCAAAATGCAGTTCTATCTCTGGAGCAGGATAAAAAACCCACTTCTTCTCTACTATGTGTTTCTTTCCTATCTCTCTCCTTACTACTCACAAAGCACTTCCCTTCTGGTCACCAAATGTGTGGAGGTTTTTTGCTGACACTACCTGGAGGTAGCATCTGATGCTATAGCTTAAAGGCTTAGTCCCACCAGACTATCCCCCACTTTAGATGCCAGTTCCAAGTCCAGGTTGCTACCTGTGTTTCTGACCAACTAGCTACAAATCAAAGGCGTCCACAACCCCCTCCTCGGGTTCAATGAAGTTGCTAGAGTGGCTCACAGAACTCAAGAAAACAGTTTACTGATATTTACTGGTTTATGATAAAAGGATATGCTACAGGATACAGCTGAACATCCAGGATGGAAGGAATACATGAGGCAAGGTATGTGGGAAGGGGCAGGGTACCTCCCTGCCCTCCAGGGACACGCCACTATCCGGGTACCTCCCCCTGTTCACCAACCTGGAAGCTCTCCGAATCCACTGCTATTGGGATTTTGTGGAGGCTTCCTCATGTACGCATGATCAATTGTTTAGTCCATTTCCAGTCCCACTCACCTCTCTGGACGGTGGTAATTGGGGCTGATAAGTCCAAGCTTCTAATCATGACTTGGTCTTTCAGGTAACCAGCCTTCATCCCACTCAGAGTCACCTCATTAAAACAAGAGATGCTCCTAGTGCTTTTATCACCTAGAAATTACAAGGATTTTAGAAACTCTGTGCCAGGAACTGGAGGCGGGGACCAATATATACTTTTTCTGTTATCTTGCACCCTAAAAACTTGTTCTCAATTACCCTAGATCAAATTTTAAAAACCTCCTTCATCATTGTGTGGTAATGTAATAGTAATAAAAAATATGGAAATGAATTCCACTGCCAATGGTAAAAATGGCCCTTGCTATTTCTCTTTATCTAAAATGTTTTTTCTGTTCCACTTATACCACCCTCATTGCCTCTCACCCCAGATCCCTCTCTCCCAGTGAGTTAATATTCTTCCCTTCCCATAAGACTCTTAGTGTTCTCTCTGCAGAGCTCTCTTTATCTCTATTGCAGACTCATGGCAGTAGAATGCTATGCTACCTTGTGCCCTCCGGAGCCCAGTGTAGCTCAGTAAGGGCTCCATGCTGCAGCCACACCCTGCCTTGCCCCAGTCTGCCCAAAACATAGAGCTCTATAAGTACACAAAAGGCAGTAACTATCTGGGGGGGAAAGTTGGATCCTTACCTCACACTACAGATCCACAAAAAATTCCAGATAGGTCAAGATTTAAATGAGTAAAATAAAACCATAAAAAGAATGAGAGGAGAAATATGGGAGAATATTTTAATAACCTCAAGGTAGACAGGGCATTTCTAAATTCTGCTATAAAACCCAGAATCCATAAAAGTAATGATAGACCAACTAAACTACATAAATTTTTAAATTTCTGTATGTCTCAAAATACCCAGGGCAGGATCACAAGGAATTTTACATTACATCACAGACTAAGAACTAATTTCTTCCATGAATAAAGAGCTCTTACAAATCAATTAGAAGAAAAAAAATCAAAACAGCAAAGTATAGTAATATACAATTCTTGGAAAACAAATGATTTAGATGCATGAAAATACATATCATTCATAATAAAAGAGATATATATGCAGCTACAGTGAGACACCAGCTTTTGACAATCAGACTGGCAAAGATCAAAATATTTGAAAATACTGTGTTGGTAGAACATACACAAACCCACCCACCCAGGAAACAGCACCAAAAGGGAGCAATTCACTTGGGGTAGTGGAGAAAGTCACTGAAAGCAGGGCAAGAGGTGAGCAAGTGCCATTCTTCCCTCTCTAACCTCTGCCCCACAGACACTGCCACAACACAGCAAAGTGGGTTAACAACCGCCCCCCCCCCCGTGAATACATAAGACTTTGCCCCTTACAATGTAACAGGTGCTCTGAAACAAAGAAATATGGCTCAAATGAAAGAACAGATCAAATCTCCAGTAAAAAAAAAAAAACAAAAACTAAGCAACAAGGAGATAGACAACCTGTCAGATGCAGAGTTCAAAACACGTAATCAGGATGCTCACAGGAATGATTGAGTACAGATGCAAAATAAAGGAAGAAATGAAGGCTATACCTAAAGAAATTTAAAAAATATTGGGGAAGCAGCAGTGAAGGGAAGAAAACTGGGACTCAAAGCAATGATTTGGAACAGAAGGAAGAAATAAACAATCAGAACAGAATGAAGAAACGAGAATTCAAAAATATGAGGAAATAGACATGCAAGTCCAGGAAGCACAGAGAATCCCAAACAAGTTGGACCCAAGGAGGAACACACCAAGATACATCATAATTAAATTAGCCAAGATTAAAGATAAGGAGAAAATTTTAAAAGCAGCAAGAGAAAAGGAGAAGGTTACCTACAAAGGAGTTCCCATAAGATTATCAGCTGACTTCTCAAAAGAACCCTTGCAGGTAAGAAGAGGCTGGAAAGAAGTATTCCAAGTCATGAAAGGCAAGGACCTACAACCAAGATTGCTCTATCCAGCAAAGCTTTCATTTAGGAAAGCCCATGGAAGGGCAGATAAAGTGCTTCCCAGATAAAGTCAAGTTAAAGGAGTTCATCATTACCAATCTTTTATTACATGAAACATTAAAGGGACTCATCTAAGAAAAAGAAGATCAAAACTATGGACAGTAAAATGACAACAAACACAACTATCAACAACTGAAACTAAAAAAAAACCAGAAATAAGAACAAACTAAGCAAACAATAGAACAGGAACAGATTCACAGAAATAAAATCACATGGAGTGTTAGCAGTGGGAGAGGGATGGGGGAGAATGGAGGAAAAACTACAGTAAGAAGCATAAGTGGTAGGTACAAAATAGACAGGGGGAGATTAAGATAATATAGGAAATGGAGAATCAAAAAAACTTATATGCATGACTCATGTACATGAACTAAGGGCAGGGTACTGGAGGGAGGGAAATGCAAGGCAAAAGGGTAGAAAAAATAGGACAACTATAATAGCATAATCAGTAAAATGTACTTAAAAAAAGAAAACACTGCATTGGCAAGTAGATAGAAACAGGTACACTTCTGCACTGCAGGTGGGAATATATATTAGCATAACCTCTTGCAAGGCAATTTGACAATAATCACTAAAACTAAAAGTACCTATGTTGTTTGAATCAGCAGTTGACTTGTTGATATTTATCCCATAAATACATTCCCACAGGTGAAAATGTACCTTTGTTTGTAATACCAAAAGTTTGGAAACAACCTAAATGCCCTTCCATGGAAGACTGAGATAATGTTATTACATGTTGAGATGGGTAGCTCTCCAATATATAATCAAAGGGAAAATAGGATGGTTCAGAACAGTGTACAGAGTATGCTACCAACTGTAGGATAAGAAAATACACAGGGTCCAGCCTGCTGCAGTGTGGCTGGTGGCGCAATAATGCAGGTGTTATAATGTACAGTTTTAATGTGAACACTTCATGCAAAATGTCACATGGTGTGTCTGAATGTGACATTGTTATGTTACAAAATTACATGCTTATGATTGTAAAATAAAAGATTTTGTAATAAAAAAGGGGCATTATTTGTGCTGGACCCTGTATGTGTGTGTGTACATCAGTATTGAAACAAACATGTGTGTGTGTGTGTATATATACACATACACATACATGTATATATGTTTGAAAATATGCAATAGATCCCTGGAAATAAATATGCAAGAAACCAGTAACAGTGACTGGGAGAAGCATTAGATGGCTGGAAAATAAGAGAAGAAAGAAGGTTTGCTATTCAACATACTCTATGTACCGTAAGTAAACATTTTGAATTTTTAATAGACACTAACCAGTACAAGATTAATATTGATCAGTTGTCTCTCACACACCCCCAGCCAGAGGCCTGGCCTGCAACCCAGATATGTGCCCTGTCTGGGAACTGAACTGGTGACCTTTCGGTTCAGAGGCTGGCACTGAACCGTACCAGTCAGGGCAAACAGGTACAATTTTGATTTATTTGCACCAGATGGCTATTGTTGTGTTGGCTATTGTAATTTTTTTAACTTGACCATCTAAGGGAAAAGAGACCAGTGCCCCTGACTAAATAGTCAGGTATTGCATGTTTTATTAATGCACACCAGTTGAAAATCACTGGATTAGAGCTCAAAATAAGGAATCCTGAATAAATTCTGCCTGAACATTATTGCTTAATTTTCTGTGGACACAGAATAAAACACAGAGGCAGCAGCCAATAGCCCCATTGCCCCTGTTAAGCAGAATAGAATAATTCAAGCATCCTGTGTGTAGGTCAGAGAAGCTTTCTTGCCAGACACCATTATGTGACTCTGGCTTAATTTTGAAAGTTAATTTTGAATAACTTGTATTGATATGATTACAAAAAATTTAACAATCAAAGGAAAAAATCCTAAATTGTCCCACATCCATCCTAGAGGAGCACATCCTCCGGCTCCTCAGAGAGAAGCCGAAATGGCCTCTGAGTTAAACTCAGGCCTGGTTAAAACCTTGTTCCCAAGGCCTCCTTAGGCCCTGTGGTGGACTGCGTGGACCAGAGAAATCTGGTGCTTTAGGTAAAAGAGAAGGATTAATGTGATTTCCAGCTACAGCTAACTGCTGTTCAACCACAGTCACTCGGGTTGATGAATGAGTTGGAGCCCAGTACCCTGTTGTAAAACACAGTTAATTGCTAATAAGACTGGGAAGCAATGTCTTTTCTTAAATATTCTCCCCCAGCATTTCTGGGAAACGACATTGGGAAGCGGCTCTTTCCCCTGGCAGCTGGGCTCCGTACTTTACCACTAGATAAACAACTCCCTGTGTTACAACTGTCTGGAGAGCTGGCTCATTACCAAAAAAAGAAAAAGAAAAAAAAACCCTCTACTTAGTAAGTAAGTTTAAAGAACATATTTTAGACCATGCATTAAGCACATGTTAATCATTGCCAGAAAGGCGCAAGTAGGATATAGGTAGGTTGATGAACTTAAATCCAAACTTACTTTGATAAAATTCGGGACATTGGACTCTAGGTCTTATGTTAACAATGAGGCCACGGGCCCAGCATGCAGTACATACATGAATGTCAGAATCTTTCTGCTTCCATTTTAATTCTAATAATCTACCTGGCTCTGCTAGATGGGACCTATCTGCTTCCTGTTTCCTCATTTAAAAAAGTAAGCTTGGCCCACCATATTAGGGTCGTGGTGAAACTCAGTTGACTGTGCCCAGCACCAAATAAGCTGTGGTGGGAGTAACTCATAAATTAAATACTTTTAAAAATTATAGACAAAAGTGAGAAAATATTAAACATGTAGTTTCATCTATCATTAATGTTTAGAACTATAAATAACGTCCACTCAACTATACCTACAAATACATGTATAGTTAATTTTTTTTCTAATTTGCTTGCACATTTCCATTCTTTTGTAACACAAAACAGAAAAAAATTATCTCTGGATACTTCCCAAAGCTGAGGTATTTTTTCTTGTCTGGGCATACAGCCAATAAATATTAGACCAGGGAGAAAATTGATGATGTCAGGCAAGCACGTTAACCCCTCAGGATGCCAATTTCCTCCTCTGTAAAATAGGAAAGCTGGACAAATGAGTGCTTCTCAAACTAGAGTATATTTTGGAATCCCCTGGGGAGCAGATATCTTGGCCAATGGAGTAGAGTCTATGCATCCATATATTTTTTAACAAATCCCCAAGAGATCCTGATGCACACCAGTTAGAGAATATCTAAATCCAACAATCTCTAAGGTCATTTCCAGCTCTAGCAATCATTAATCTTTTTTAAAATATACCTACGCTGCATAAATAGATAATTTCACAAAAATCAAAACCGTGGTCATATACATGCTTTGGGGATTTTTCCTCTTTTCTTTTTTTGTGTGGTTTTCTCTTGTGAAGCTCGTCCTTTTCTACCTACGTCACCCCCCTCCCACAGGACACCATGGGAACACTCTATCAGTGATCTTAATAAAGCAAGCTGAAGCCTGCTATGTCCCTTATTCTAGGTTTGGGATGCTGAATCCCAAACCTCAAATGTACTTTTCAAAAAAACATACCTGAAAATAAGTTGTGTACAAATTCTGTCTCCTCTAATTCTGTGCCTCTTTGCTACCATCCAAACAACGTCATGCAAACAGAGATCACTCCCGCACAGTCACGACTGTTTTGCCTCTCTGGCTCCAGGTTTTAGCTCAGTGCTTCACGGGCACATGCTATTGTTTGTTGACTGACTAACTGGTTTGGATAGGGAGAATGTCAATGTTTGCCTCTGGTTGTTTTGTGACTTTTAGTGAATCATTTCCTTTACTGAACACATGGGAGTAAGAAGGTCAGATATGAATGAAGGCTGCAAAGGATCCAGAAAGCCAACACCTAGAGTCTCCCATGATTCTGATTCACAGGCAAAGGAACTCTGGAGTTAGACAACTATATATATATATATATATATATATATATATATGTGTGTGTGTGTGTGTGTGTATATATATATATATATATGAAGAATAAATAATGGCTCCCTTCAAAATAGGTAGAATCCTACAAGAGTTCATACCCAAGTCTACATAAATACCATGTGGAATCTTATAAAAGTTTTTTTACACTCAGTTTCACTTGATTATATTCTGTTAAACTTTTACATTTGGCAAGACATTAATAAATACTTTACTGATAGAAGGAAATCTTCATGAGACTGAAATTTGATTAGTTTTCTTACAGGACCAGAATTTCCTTTGGCAACTCTGAATGGATGGGTAGTTGATAGATGGCTTGCCACCCATCTGCCCCACAACGCATCCCCCCACAGTGGTCCCTCTCCCTGTTCTTCTTTGTGTCGACCCAAATCACCCTGATTTATAATGAAGCATAAGAGCAGATGTAACAATGCATTGCCTGTCTCTGTGGTGCCAGGAAGGACTGTGCCAAAACCACCAGGAAAATGAATTGCTCCACCTACCTTGGCAACATGAACCCGTGCATAACAGCCCTCCTGGTCAGGTCACTTTTACATTGCTGGTAATGTATACTGAAAACTTAATTAAGAATCCAGCAAAGGAGCCAAAGATCAAAAGAGTATAACTTGTCATGCCCTCAAATCCCCCCAAAAATCAATACTCAGTCCAAACATTGACTCGTTCTTAAGGACACTTCCAATGCTGTCACAAGTGCTAGACAGCTCTCTGGAGAAAAAGACTTTGATCTTCAGAGTTGTCAGGCAAACCTCCTTAAACAAACATTGCAATAACATTGATCATCTGGGCACCGTGAACTTTGAACAAGCTTGGAACACAATCCAGAATCCCTCAGAACTACACTTTCATATGACCTTCCCATATCTGTTATGAGCAGTAGTTACCATGCCTAGAATTAAGGTGAGAAGAGTCAGTGGAAGTATCACAGGAAGTCTACCCTTCCACAGCCCTCTCTTCGGTTCCTTTGGTGGTCTGTGCCAATTTCTGCTCCTATTCTTAAGATTCTTCACATAAAATAGCAAACAGAATTACAGTCATACCTTGGCACTCGTTGGCTTCAGAATTTGTCATACCCTGTACTTGTCTCATTTTGACAAGAAAAAAAATGTTTCAGCACTCGATGCTTGCTCAGTACTTAGCCCCTATCTCATGGTAGCTCATGAACAGCTCGGTACTCACTGGTTTCAGCACTTGCATGAGTTCCGGAATGAATGAATGATTACCAAGGTACCACTGTGCCTCCTTCTTTTCCACATTGAACCACACTACTCTCGGGATCTAATGTAAATGTGTGTGTATTCACTCCCCACTCCTTTAAGAGGGGCAGAACTTAGTGAGAAGTACAAATTTTGGAACATAAGTGTTTTTGGAATGTTTAACATGGCTAACCCATATTGTTTAGGCAAATTTTCCATAGAGTTTTGAAATTAATGTGGAAGTGTGAACTTGATCTGAGACAATGTGAGGAAGTCAGGCAGTTACTTCATGTGAGACCTAAAGATAGACGACTAGATTCTATTCCCATTTGCCTCCTGTTGTAGAAGAATACAACTAATGTAAATGAATGTCCACCTATTTTTTAAAGTTCCATAAGAGGCATCGATATGTGAAACTGCAAAAAATATATATACAATGTTTATTAAAATAATCCTTCCATCAAATCACCCTCCATTCTGTTGCTTAACCCCCAAATGTAACAATATCCTTGGTTCCTTGCTGTCTCTCAATTCTGTATCTAACCCATTATTAGCTCTAACATACATTATATCCTACATTTTTCCACCCCCTCAGTTCTCTGGCCACCACTCCAGTCTGAGCCAAAATCATCTCTCTCCTGGGCTACTGCAACAGCTGCCAAAATTTGTTTGTCTCCCTTCCTGCCCCACTCAAAGCCATCCCCTAAGAGCAATAAGGGCAATCGTTACAAGTCAAACTTCCCACGGCTTTCCTTTGCACACAGGATAAAAGCCAGATTCCCTGGCCTGGCCTTTCACAGTCAAGCCAGTGTCTATATCTCCAATTCCGTTTCTTATCATCCCCCCTTCACCCTCATACCTTCCAGCCACTTTGGCTTTCGTTCTGACCCTTTCAACCAACCACTAGGCTTGTTGCTACTCTCTTTCATCAGCTCTCGGACAGGCTAGATCCTGCCCATCATTTGTTCTTTTCAGGTCTCAACTCAATGTCAGCACCATTTCTTGACCACTTTTTCTAAGACAGTATTTCTTGACCACTCTCCCTAAAGTTTCTAAAACTCTGTTACATTACCCTGATTATTTCCTCCATGGCAGTAATCACTCCTTGGATTTGGCTGGAAGAGCTATTTAACCCAAGGCTATATCTCCTTGAGGTAAGTTTGTATCCACTGTTTGGCCCATGCAACAGTATAAAGGAGGGCCCATTCTCCACAATGAAGGCATCTCTGAAAGGTCATTCCAGTTTTAGAGCTCCTCTGAGGTCAGCTGAGACCTACCCTAAGACCATAGTGCAGCCCAACTTCCCTCTCTGCCCCTTCCCATCCACAGATGCATGATTCTGAGAGCACTCTTTAATAACTTCCTACTCGTTAATAACTTTCTGAGTCAGCTTCCTAGGATCCCAACCTACAACAGAATTGGTCTAGATGTCTTGCAGGTAGAACCAACAGGATTTGCTGATGATGTGATATAGGGTGTATGAGAAAGAGGAGGCAGAGATAACACCAAGATTTTTATCTTGGACAACAGAAAGAACCAAGTAGCCATTTAGTGTCATGGGTAACTGCAGGAAGAACATGTTGAGGTGGGATGGGACTTGCAGTTTGGTTCTGTTGCAGTTATGATGCCTGTAAGCCACCCAAGAACAGTTTCGAGTGAACACTTAGATATATGAGCCTGAAGCTCAAGGGAGAGGTCAGGACACAATGAGGAATGTGGGATTTATTAGCACGTGGATGGTGAAGGCTTGCAACCAGATGAAAACATCTTTAGATCAACAAGTACATCCACTATAATTTTGACCAGCCTTCCCAAAGTAGGCTCTTGCATTATCATTACAGTATTTTAATTTTGAAATTTGTTGTGACATTTACTTTGTCACTAATCAGCTATTCTACCTTAAATAAATCATTTAATTAACTTACTGTGCTCTGTATGTCTTCATCTGACATGTGGAGATAAATAGTAATTATAAACTCAACTTCAGGGAAAAATCTAAGAATCAAATGAGACAATAGAAAAACACTTAGACGAGGTAAAACATTATCCTAATGAGATATTTTTTCTATTAGTTTTTAAAAATATATAGTTTCATTGTTATTAGGAATAAAAATGAGAAAAGGATTAAATTAAACATCCATTGAACTTCATATGAAGGAAATAACAAAAGAATCATCCAAAGGAAAATGAAAGTAAGTGAAAGAATATTAACAAAACTGAAAATAAGCACATTATCAAACATTAAATTCTAGAGCAGATAAACTCATTTTTTAAAAGCTAAAATATATTTTAAAAAACACTAGCAACTACTGAAAACCAAAAGATGAGCTTACATTATAAGTAACAAGTGCATAAAATATATTTTTTGAAAAAGTGAATATCAAAAACACATGTTAACATATTAATAACCTGCATTAAAATGATCATTTTTCTTCTAAGAAAGAAAATAGGAGCAAACTCGTTACTCCCAGAAATTAACTGGAGTCCCTGCACAGCTGAACAAGATACCATCCTGTGTTGTCATTCACATCACCACTTTTTAAACCAGGGAACAGAATTTCAATTGCTTACAGAAATATCTTTTTTGAAATATTTGTAAGTGGGAAAATCTCAAAAGAATAACAAAGTAGAGGCCAGACCAGGTTTCCGATTCCCGGGTTCAGCTCTGCCGTCTAGACTCACGTCGTTTGGCTGCAGGCTCTACTGCATCCTTGCTCGGGCGGGGGCTCCATAGAAACCGTTTTTACCTTGAGGGACATCCAGGCTCTTTTCCTGTGGGGAATACAACCCTGAGGATTGAGCAAGCAGACAACTTGGGTACAGATATTATTTTGTTCTTCACATAGTAAGATATCGGAGTTGACTGGGGCCACTTCATCCTGATGCACTGTCTTTGTCAGGATGAGTTGAAAAGAAGGAACCACAATGAGATACCACTTTACACCGGTCAGGATGGCCATCATAAACAAAGCAACAAACAACAAATGTTATAGAGGGTGTGGGGAAAAGGGGTCCTTAGTTCACTGTTGGTGGGATTGCAGACTGGTACAACCATTATGGAAAACAGTATGGAATTTTCTCAGAAAAATAAAAATTGACCTGCATTTTGACCAAGCAATTCCACTGCTAAAAATATATCCTAAGAATCCTAAAACATCAATATCAAAGAACCTATGCACCACAATGTTCATAGCAGCACAATTTACAATAGCCAAGACCTGGAAGCAACCTAGGTGCCCATCAGTAAATGAATGGATCAAAAAATTGTGGTACATATACACAATGGAATTCTATGCAGCAGAGAGAAAGAAGGAGCTACTACCCTTTGCAACAACATGGATGGAACTAGAAAGCATTATGCTGAGTGAAATAGGCCAGGTGTTGAAAGACAAATACCATATGATCTCACCTTTAACAGGAAGCTAAACAACAAAACAAACAAGCAAGCAGAATAAAAACAAAGACACTGAAATAGAGAACAAGTTGGCAGTAACCAGAGGGGAGAGGGAAGGG